CATTAGTAAATCTTCTTTTCTTAGTTAAGAGCTCTTTCATGAATTTGGCATATGTTGGCATTTGCTCCATAGTTTCTACAAATGATATATTAATTTGCAATTGCTTGAAAATATCCATAAATCTTGCAAACTGTCTTTCTTTATCTATTTGTGAAGGAGCCTTAGGATACGATAACTTCTCTACAAATGGTTTTTTGACTCCCTCCTTTTTCTATCTTCTCTTCGTTCTTCTTATTAGGAATATGTCTTTCTTTATTATTCTCATCTTCTTGCTCTTCATCTTCTTTTACCAAAACTTCTTCTTTAACAACTATATTGTCACCAATCCCCTTACCTACAACTTTTCCACTCCTTGTAGTTATTGAATTGCATTGCTCCCTGGGGTTGGTTTGTGTGTTAGCTGAAAATTGTCCTCCTTGTTGCTACTCAGATAATTGCTTAGCCAATTGGCCTATCTGGGTCTCTATATTTCTGAATGAAGCCTCAGTATTTTTCTGATTAGCCATAGTGCCTTGCATGAATTTTTCTAAAGTATCCTCCAATTTACTTATTCTATCAAGCACTAAAGGATAATGTTGTTGTTGTTGATATAGAGGTTGCTGATATGATTGTTGTTGAAATGCATGTTGTCTAGTAGATGAGCTAACACCTTGGTTCCACCCAAAATTCTGATTCTGATTTTGATTCCCTCTCCATCCTTGTGCAAAATTATTCTGATAATTATTGGGATTAGGAAAATTACCTTGTCTGCCTTGACTACTACCTTGGGCCCCCATATAATTAGCTTCTTGTTGTTGAATGTTGCCTTGATAAGAGCATTGTTCATTTGAATGATCACCTCCACACAAATCACAACTCAACTGTTGATTAGGAATAGTTTGTACTGGGTACATTTGTTGAGGTAATTTCTCTATTTTCTGGTTCAATGCTTCAATTTGTTGGGTCAAAATTTTATTCTGGGCTAAGAGAGCATTTGTGGTGTTAAGTTCAAGGACTCCTTTCCTTGGAATTGGATGTCTATCATGTTGGGCTTGTTGGTCTATAAAGGTTAGTGCATCAATAATTTTGGTGACATGATCAATTTCTACATCCAACATAGATCCTCTTGTTGCAGCCTCTAATAACATCTTTGCATCATGTCGCAAGCCAGTATAGAAAATATTCAACTGAGAAACGTCATCAAATCCATGATTTGGGCAACTTCTCAACAGTGATTTAAATTTCTCTCATGCTTCACAAAATTTTTCATCTGCTCCTTGTCTGAAAGAAGTGATGTCAGATTTTACTTTGATGTAGCGGGATGGTGGGAAAAATCTGTTCAGAAACTTCTCTTCTACACTACTCCAATTAGTCAAACTCTGATTAGGATGTGCTTTCAGCCATTCCTTTGCCCTACCTGCCAAAGAAAAAAGAAATAATATCAAATATACAGATTCAAGATTTGTTGCTCTAAATCCCATGGTACCAATCAACTCATAAAAAGTAGACAAATGACTATAAGGGTCTTCATGATCCAATCCAGTGAATTGATGAGCACTAATCAAGCTTAAGAAAGCTGGATTCATCTGCAATGTATGATCATCCGGAATGACAATGTTGGAAAAATATCTTGGACCTTGCTGCATAGCACAATTTCTAAGAGTTCTTCTAGGTGGATTTGCATTTGGATTTTGATTTGGATCTGGATTCAGATTTGCTCCTTCTTCCGCCTTATCTTCTATAATTGGGTTTGGTAAATCAAGTGTGAAAGAAGAATTAGCAGATTCTCATGTGGCTTGCTCTTGAGTTTCCCTTCTTCTTCTACCCTGGTTCCTCTGAGCTGTTTTTTCAATTTCTTGATTAAATTCTAACCGCTCTGAAAATACCTGTCCTCTTAAACGCATAAATCAAAAGAGTAACTCAAGCAAATATTAGCACAAACTAAAAACTAAATAATAATAATAATAATAACGATGATAATAATAATAATAATAAGAATAACGATGATGATGATAATAATAATAATAATAATAATAATAATAATAATAATAATAATAATGATAATAATAACAGAAATAAAAATAAAATACCCAATAAGCTAAACAAAGAATTCTCAAAGAACACCGTTCCCCGGCAACGGCGCCAGAAATACTTGTTGAATTATTGGCAAGCGTATCAAATTATCAATCGCAGTATAGTATTTCGATTAAATAAAAGTCGATCCCACGAGGAACAGTTTCAATGGAAATTCCCAATTATGCTTACTAAGTAGATTAAAACAGATTAGGTTTTGCAAATAAGAGTTGAATTGAAATTAAATGACAAAGAACTGTAGATTGTTGAGAAAATATCAATTAAAGGTACTTAGGATTGGTTTCCTTCCTTATCCCTCTTTTGTAATGGTTATGTCAATTAAGAACGTCAATTAACCTAACAATGTTGATGTCACCTACTCAAATCATCCATGTTGATTCCTCACACATGAAATTCATAAGAAAACCTAATAAATGTTGATTCCTCACACAATTAACAGATTTTCCAGCATTAGGGTTAGGGTGTTAAGCAATTGATACATTCATTCCATTCCTGGCAATTAACGTAACAAATATTCTTACCGTGATCTAGGGTTCAAGATATATTTTCCAATCATACCTCAAACAATAAAAAATAAATCATTCCAAAGCATAAAGGATAAGAATAACAACATCAAAGCATAGATTAATATATCAAAATATCACCATGATACAAAAGAGTTCAAAGGAAGTGCACCGAATCCTAAGAGAATGAAGTTAGTCACTCATGTTTGCCATTACAATGCTTCAATTGATGAAGATTGGACAAAACCCTAACAGTAGTCGTGCCTCCTCCTCTCCAAGACTGCTTGCTTTTCTCAAAACACAACTTATCTTTTTATAAGAGAATTTGGGTCAGGCCTCGCATCATTTATTCGCTTAAGCGCTCTTCTTTCTTTCAATTTTACTCCAATTATGTTGACAATTATGCTCCTTACTCTTGTATCAAGGTATTCTCGAATTCATCCTATATTGGGAGAAAAATATATTAGAATTAACATAAGTTAAGTGGTTTCATAACAATTCAAGGCATAATTATATCAACTTTTTACCACTTAACAATGTTTCTCTCCGATTGAGTTTTTTTGTATACTTGATATTAGTGTTTTATGTGTCTCGTCTCCTCTTTTATATTGAAGTAGAATGTTTTCACTCGATTGTTATTGAATTAAACTATTGTAGTTTGTGATTATTCGTCTATACATTTGAATCTTATGTGTTTTGTTGTTGTGGGTTTAGGATTTTTATGATGAAAAGAAAACGAAAAATGTTTGAAGCAAGATAATTTTTTACTCCAATATCGGATTTGGACGCACAACATATAAAAAAAAAAACGAAGAAGACATGACAAATACCCAAAAGGGATTTGTCCCAACAATTTTTTCAAAATATGCTCCTAAGCACATGTAATAAACAAAAGTTTGTACTTTCAACATTTGTTAAGTCCATTTACTTTTATGTGTATTGCATATTAACATGAGTCAAATTAATATTTCAGGTATTTCAAGATTCATCTATCTCTAATATCAAAATATGATATTACACAAATTAGAAAATAATGAGGAGCAAGATTTTTCGATCAATATTTCTATTATTTAGTTTGTAGGTTATTGTTTGTATTGTATTATATAGTTTAACATTTAAGTAGCTTAGATTTTGTATTAGTTTAGTTTTGTAATATTTACCTTATCTTTTAAGTAGTTTAGTATTTATATTATATTGTATTGTTATATTTTTGAATTATTATCTATTAAAATTTAAACTTATTGTAAGATAAAAAAAATGAAATTTATATCAAACCAAAGAGTTATTGGACGTAAATTTACATTTGTTTATACCTTAAATTCGACATAAATTTAGGTGAAATATATTTTAGATCCGACATATATTTATGTTAAATGTATTTCTGATCCAATATAAATTTATGTTAATAATTATGTTCCATGTAAATATTCATTAAATTTGTTTCTGATAAAAAATCAAAATAACATAAAATTTATACTTAGTTTACTCAATGTACAAGATAATTATTATAAACAATTTTATATAACTTCTCTGTTCAAAATCTCTCGAGTTTCAACAACTTTGACAGCCATGGGAGTTCTCTTTCATTTTTTTTAGTCGTAGGAGCTAGAAGAAGACACGGGAACAGGCAAAGCAACATTATCACCTCTTTTTTTATTTTCTATTTTCTATTTTCTATTGTCGTGTTGTTTATATATTTTATAATATTTTTCGTTTAATGAATTCAAGTTGTTATATTTTGATAAAAAAAATTGTATGAGGTTTGTGTAGATATCTTCAAAATAATCAACGTGTTCAAATACTGAAATAATCTGGTTTCTCGTTCTCTTTTAAATATAATTTTGCTTCCATGTTCTTTTTTTTTCTGAAACTTGCTTTTGATTTTTATATATAAAAGTTGATTAGTTAGTTTGTAGATGTAATATATATATATATATATATATATATATATATATATATATATATATATATATATATATATATATTATTAAATTTGTAACAGTAAAAAATTATGATTAAATATTAAATTTTAATATAAAAAATTAAATTTATTAATTTAAAAATATAATAATTAAAGATAAATTTAAAAAAATATAAAACCAAAAACATATTTATTCTGTCCTAAATTATTATGATTTTTTTTACCGTTTGACCTAGTACATTGATATGCTAGGTTTGGTTAAATTGGTCATTATAATATTTTTTTCTTCTTGACATTAATTTTAAGAAAAAAAAAAAACAAGCCAAATGGGTTTAAATATTTTCAGGCTAGGAATTTATCTGCCTTTTATGTATTTATTTAGATACATTTTACATTGTATTGTTTATATATATTTGAAAATTAAAAAGTTGAATGAAATAAAGTTGTTATAATAAGTTGATTTTCTATTTGAAACTTTTGTGCATATATCCAAAATAGTGAAAATGGGGTTGTCTGATCGAGCCTGTCTGAATTTCTCAAGCTTGGTTAGTTGAATGTTAGGCTTGGCCGAATTGGCCATTTCTTTTTTCTCTAATTTATATTAATTAAAAAAAAATAGGCCATTGGACCTAAGAATTTATAGTCTAGTAACCCATTGGACCTAATCTTTATACCATTTTTATAGAACAGTCCAGTTCATCAGACAGTCGGAGAACATTATGTATACATAAAAAAAAATTACTGGCGATATACAAGTTTTTTAGTTGGAATATTATAAAGACATCAAACTAACCTAAGAATGGAACGTTATAAAATTAAAAAAAAAATGTTCTTACATATTATTTTTATACAATGAAGATTCACATGTTTACATATAAAAAAAAAGTATTAAGGTTAATCAGAGTCTTGTGGATAAATAAGTATGTATGTTTCGGTAATGTGTTTTTTTTTTCTTAAATAAAATAAAATAAAATATAAAATATAGTAAAAAAGTAAAAAATAATTAATTGTCGTTCTTATTACTATATAGTTAAATTTATAGCGTATTTTCAGGTTATAACTTAGATCAATTGATGTGAAACTTTATTTTAAGACTTAAATTTGTGAACAATATTATAAGTTATTGAAATGTATTGTCATAACTCTATAATATTTTAAATAATTTAACATATATTAAATAAACATAATCCATTGACAAAAGAATTCACTCATAAGGAATGATTGAACATGTTGAAATATAAGTTAATCATGGTTTATTAATATACGTTTATTTCATATAGTATGTAATTATAGTTCATTTATGATATATCTATAATTATTTATTTTTCAACCGGTATTATATATGTTTTATATTAATTAATTAATTAAGTAGAAGTTTAATTTGTATGATAACAAAAAAAAAAAGTATGTTGATCAAGTGATATTCTATTGCTGTGACTCATTATTTCAAATTAATCCTCGTTCTTCATTGTGAGATTGCTATGAGTCCAACTTATGAAAAGATTTAGACATTCTAATGCACATTATATTAGGTTAATTTATTTATATTGTGTATGATGTTAGCTAAATTTTCATGAGCCAAATTATCTTATATGAGAAACATATGACATATTAGTGAATTAATTGATATTTAATTAATTAAAACCAATCTTATTCCGGTGGAATTATTAAACAATATGATATTTTATTAGCTTGTGTTTTAGGATGATGGATGAAGTTGGTCTGGAGGGAAATTAAATTTGTTAGCTTGATAGAGAGGATGAATATATTTTTAAAAAGTACATAAATGATTATTTTACATTTATATATATATATATATATATATATATATATTATATAAAATGACAGTAGAATGAGAAATATGTATATTCAAATAATTTATGTCTTATAAATTAATGAATGATATTATTTTAAAAGAAAAATCTCTATTACTTACTCATTTCTAATCTACCAAATTAAACATTCAATCTTGATTTTTTTTTCTTTTTACCTATTGCTCCTTTTCTTCTCTATTTTCATTTTATTTTTCTTTATCAAACGAACAAACATATTTAAGACTACTAAAAATACAATTTTTAATATATTTTTATTATTAATTATAATTTATTCAAAATCAGAAAATTGCATTTCATAATCAAGAAATAAAATGTAATAATAATTCTCTATTTTTTAAATAAAAAATGTAATCAATAATAAATAATGTATTTTAATATCAAATGGTGGTTTTTAGATAATAATTATTTCACCACTGATAACTATCAAAATATGTTATATAATATTATTTTAGAGAATCTAATGAATTATTTAATTGCTAAATAATATTTTTGTTAAAAGATACTTTACCACCATTTAAGAACAAAAGAAAAGAAAAATTGTTTGATATGAATCTCCAATCCGGAGATACCTGTTAGACACCATGATAACTTTATTTTTAAGTTAAAATGATAGAAGTTAGTTTTATAATAAAATATATCCTATGAAGTGTGTAGGATTGGTGTTTTTATAATAAAATACAACACGTTGATCTTCTCCCAAAAATTAAGTCTTCATGACTTGGATAAAGAGATTTTGTAATCTTTAAATTTTTAAATTAGAGGAACGATATTAGAAAATCCAAAATATTATTATGGAGTGTTATGGGTGTGTGGTTGTTAAATAATATTTGTATTAATATTATGATAATTTTAGTCTCTCTCCAGTAGTTTCAGGCTGAAGAACAGCAATTATGTGGATTAGTTCTGTTCTGCTTCCAGTTACGAGGAGTGATTTGCACATATAAAAGTTTACTTTTTCTTTTCTTTTCTTTTACTCTCTCTCACAAGAAAAGTGAGTCGAGAAGATAAAACTACATTGAAGTATGAATTGTAGGTAGCAACATTATTTTTTATCTAATATACTTTCAGTTTTATAATATGCGAATGCTTTTTAAAAAAATAAGGTAATAAAAGAAGATAAAATGCCATGAAGTGCGAATCATGAGTAAAGATACACCATTAGTTTTTAACTAATCTAAAACAATTCTCCATTCACAGCCTATTATGATGATTGAATGTGTAATAAATTTTATAATCCCTAGGAACAGGAGATTAGTACAGACGCGTTTGTGAAGCAGGCAGTACAAACTAGATAAGCAATTTTCAGTACTAAAGTGCAGTACAAACAAGGCCACACATAAAAGCAATGCCATGAGACAAACAACAGATCTATACTTGGAGTGGGATCTTTCTTTAGGACTATGGTTTGGACGAGTCACTGCAACAACCACCTATGTCCATCTCTTCTTCATCTTCTCGTTACTCTGTTCTTTGAAATTGTAAGTAATCTTCCACAGCTTCTACTCCAAAATCCTCAAGACCTTGTTTATAACATTCAAGAATTTGGTTGCTACTTGTCCAATCCATAGTTTTAAAGGAATAAACCCCTCCACAATGTGTTTATACCAGATTTCAGCATCAAGATATATATATATATATATATATATATATATATATATATATATATATATATATATATACACCTTTCGATGAGGTAGCTTAATTCCATGGTAAGATATCAGGTAATTTATACACCAGCGTTAAGCTATATATTTAATTCTAGGGTATTTGTGTACGATGATAAGAATTAAGTATAAATCTTTTAGCTTATAACTCTCTGCACACTATTTAAGTCATTCACTGTTTGTTTCTAAGTGGTTCCGCACTTCTGTTTCTTGATCAGAGATAGGGGTTCGATTTCCTGTTAGTGGGTAAATCATGGCTGAAAACACAACTTTAACTCTGAAGAGTTGACCTTAGAGAAAAAAAAAAATGTGAGATATAAAATAAAAGTCTTAAATATCTATCTTTTATATATACAATTTGCTCAGTAGTGACTTAATGCTTTAACCAGACCTACCATGAGGTGTGAAATATGAAAGAACACGCTGATAGGACCAGATAAATAAGTGCTTATTTTAACTCAACAACTAATCTTAATCAAATCATAGCCCTATTGTCAAGTTGAAGCTTTGCATTCTAATTATTGCCCAAACAATTAAAGAATTGTAAGAAAGAAACTAAGCATTTTTTAACATAACAGGATTTGAAATTCAAGATGGTGGATTGGTTAGATCGAATCATACTGTTTGCACAAAACAACGGACATTAGGAATATATATCAGCTTAAGAAAATTGTATAGTAAGATTACGAAAGATATCATAGCAAAGTCCAAATCTTAAGCCAACAAAAAGACGTAAGCCTACGCTTGGGCAGAATTATAAAGAAGAAAACACATCCAAAACAAGTAACTAAATGCAGCAGAACTGAGATATGACTAAAAAGTTCAACCAAAACAATCATTAACATTGCGTTGCAGAGAAATGTGGAAAAACATTATGTGTCTGTCATGAAAAAGCCACAAAATATGTTTCCAACATTGCATAAATAAGAATTTCATAGAATAAGAATGATCTAAGAAAATAAAGCACTGCATAGGTTAATGGTAGCAACTAATTGAAGCAGGGGCACATAACAAGTCCACTGATTTCAAAGCCAATTACTTGGACACAATATTGATTGATAGGCATCTAACAAGCAGAACCAACCAACAATAGGCACAACCCACAAAACCATGATTGATTGAAGCAAAAATAGTATAATATTGGTACTCTATATAATGGAGTTTGATAAGAAAAGACACTGAAACAAGGATATAGAAGAAATGAGAGAGAAAGAAGAGTGCAGGCGAGGCTCAGTATACAGTAAAAGACAAGGCCCTAGAGTGGCTCTGAATGCCTTGAAAGCATGACTTGGAGAAGCTTGTGGAGAGTTTTTACTCAGTCGTCCTCCAAAAATGAATGTTAGACAGCAGAAGGGGACTTGGATTGTGATCATTCAGAAAATTTTCTACTTGAAAAGTTAAGATTCTTCTGAGTTGATTTTCAAATTAAACGCAACTTGGTCTTAAGAGAATTGTAAAGCTATATATTCGCTTAAAGGAATTTCACAATTGTAAGACACAATTCTATAACCTTACAAATAAAGCTTCTTAACTCAGTTTCTGGTCAGCTTGGACTACTCTGAAGGTTAAGACTATAGTGTTAGACTAAACAACTTGATTTATGTATTCATTTGAATCAAATTAAAAAAACAAGTTTTATATTGTACGAGATAATTATTAATTAATTCTAATGTATTTAATTAGACATTTAATTTAGTCAACAAACAATATGGCATCGTCACCACCCACCAAGTGATTATTAATAAAATATATAACATTATTTTAGAGCTTGTCTTTAATATTTTTCTCTTGGTCAGGTCATTTATTTTGTTCACACTGTTTTTATCTCTTAATTATAGAAATGGAAAAGAATAATAAGAATATAATTCTTTTTACACTATTTATTCATCATAAAAAAGGGATATTTTTTAATCAAACAGTGTGGGGGAGGGATATATTCTTGATTAGCTTCATGATAACAACAGAACCAGTTTCATATTCTGATAGGAACTAACACATTCACACCTGCAATCTTTCCGTGGCATTTTATGGATAATTATATTATTAACACAAAACATTCATATATGTGCTTGGAATATTAAGTAGAAACAACTTGAACGGTGGATTTAAAAAGGAACCAACCATATATGATCATATATTCTGCACCTTCATATTTTATGTGTCTCGTGTGATTATTCCACAGTCACATTACAGTGCAAAGTAGATAGATTCCTCTGGAATTGACAAAATTCAAGACGTGCTCTATAATTAACCATACAAAAGTTCTTCAGCATAAATCCTATAAACCCCGTTCTTATTCTAGCAATAGTGCATGCTGGCATCGCTTTTTTAAAGTAGAATTCATACAAATCTCACGAGATAGTAAAATAAAATTCAATTTTTTTTTTAATAAAGCTCCCATTAACATGTTCGAATATACTTTTTCATAACATATTCTCATTTTTTTCTACAACCTAAAACCGTTTTTTTTTTAAGTTAATTAGTAAAAAATTTAATTATATTATTTACCTTAAAAAATGATTTTTAATTTATATATAGTGAATGGAAATGTATTGGTTTTTATTTTATTTTCTTAGAAATAATTTACTCGAACACACTCTATAAATTATTACAATTGTAGTTGAAAAACAGCATGTTTCTCTTGACTTGAGCATGAAGTTAAGTTAAGGAGTTAATATACATTGCTATATTAATTTCTTTCAATTCTAATTTTTTAAATCTATATTCTGAGGTTGACTTAAGTGATATATTTTTCTTTTCTTTTTCTCCCTTATTTCATTCTTTTAGTCTCTATTATTGTAAAGATAATCATATGTTTTTTATCATTTTAGATAAATATTTTATATCTTTATTTTTAGGATAGTTGTAATTTTTTATATTTTTAGACAAATAATTTCAAAATTGTGTATTTACATTTTATTGTATTTTTTTTCTTTTATCATCCATAATACCATCGTCACAAACTCAACATTTTTTTCCTCCTAGTTTCCAATAATAAAAGCATGTTCTTTAATTCCAAATTTATGTAATCGATGTTAACGACACAATTTAATGCAAAATCATTTTTGCACAACGTCATCATGTTATTCTCACATACACATATATTCACATCTTAAATCATTTAATGAACTCACTGTTGAGGTGTAAAGATCGGTCAAAGATAGGGAACTTCCTCGTAAGTTCCTGGTCAAAGGAAGGCTACTTCCTTGCAACTTCCTGGTCAAAGGAAGGGAGCTTCCTCTCAACTTCCTCTCAAGAAGGATTTGTTTGGCTATAAATACCTCATTTTGTAACCTCATTTGTATCCAATCCAAGTGTGAAGAAAGAGTAGAGAGAGTGTATTCATACGGGCTTGTGTGAATTGTAACATTCGGTTTATCCTCTTATTCTAGTTCATTCTCCTGGCTTGGTTCGCCCCAGGATGTAGGATTTAATCCGAAGCTGGGTTAACAAATATTCGTGTCTTTTATTGATCTCACATTGGTGTATTATTATTATTCCATCTTATCCGACCTTATTTCCCAACAAGCTGGTATCGGAGCCGGGAGGTTGGAGATAAGATGGAGGGAAAGATTCAAGTCGAACGGTTCAATGGTTCAGACTTTGGATTCCGGCGAATGCAAATGGAGGCTTACCTGTACGGGAAGGACCTCTACGCACCTCTTGGGGAAAAACCCGAGAAGATGAGCGATGATGAATGGAAGGTGCTCGATCGGAAGGCGATGAGCGCTATAATTCTTTCGCTCTCTCGGAACGTCGCCTACCATGTGAAGGGAGCAAAAAGCACGAAGGAGGTCTTGCAGATACTCGCCGACATGTATGAAAAACCATCGGCAATAAACAAGGTGATGCTGATGAAAAAGCTGTTCAAATTGCAAATGGAGGAGCGAAAGTCGGTGGCCGATCATCTCAACGATTTCAACCAACTCACGACGCAGTTGGCATCGGTGGATATTTCGTTTGATGATGAGGTAAAAGCCCTAATCTTGCTCTCATCATTGTCGGACGGTTGGGACGTGGTCATTACTTCGGTGAGCACTTCTTCGGCAAGGAGAAGATGAAGTTCGACAACATAAGAGATATGATGTTGAACGAGGAGACCCGCAGAATCGAGGCGGGTGGGTCGTCCGGCTCAGCCCTACATACAGAGTCCGAGAGGAGACCCGAAACACGAGGGAAAATCCGTGGGAGGTCAAAATTCAGGGGAAGGAATAAAGGCAAGAAAGAGATGGTGTGTTGGAGCTGCGAGAAGCCTGGGCATATGAAAAGCGAATGTCGGGCACCAAGGAAAGACAAAGAAGGCCGGACGGCCAATGCCGCGACGGAGGACACGGCGGATGCACTCTTGTTGAGTGTGAGAAGCTCGCTCGATGAGCTGGATCGTGGACTCGGGGGCCTCATTTCACTCATGCAGTAGCAGAGACATCATGGAGCCATACATCGCAGGTGATTTTGGCTTGGTATATCTTGCGGACAACAAATCCCTAAAAATTGTAGGGAAGGGAGATGTGCGGATCAAGTCCGCAAATGGGTCATGCTTGGACCCTACGTGATGTGAGACACATTCCGGGACTGAAGAGGAATCTCATCTCGGTTGGACAAGCTGGACAATGACGGCTTCCACACAATGTTTGGAGACGGAAAGTGGAAGGTCGGCCGAGGAGCTATGACTTTGGCAAGAGGGCTGAAGTCGGGAACGCTTTACACGGCGAGTAGATCCAGCTCAAACATTCTCTGGCGGGAGTTGTCTCACAATCGCACTTGTGGCACGGTCGCTTGGGCCACATGAGCGAAAAAGGAATGAAGGTACTAAAGTCGAGAGGACTTTTGCCCGAGTTGGAGTCGGTGGACGTGGGTCTCTGCGAGCAATGCGTGCTTGGAAAGCGAAGCGAGTGAGCTTCATAACCACCGGAAGAGCTCCAAAGACGGAAAAGCTGGAGCTCGTGCACATCGACTTATGGGGGCCAGCACCGGTGACATCTCTTGGAGGATCGATGTACTACATGACGTTCGTCGATGATCGCACAAGAAAGGTATGGGTGTACTTTCTAAAAAGAAAATCCGAAGCCTTTGATACTTTCGGGAGATGGAGAGCACTCGTGGAGAAAGAGACAGTGCGGAAGTGAAATGTCTCGGATCCGACAACGGTGGCGAGTACAACGGTGAAGCCATCAAAGAATACTGCGGCGATCATGGGATCCGGATGCGGAAGACGGTCCCGGGGACACCTCAACAAAATGGCATTGCGGAGAGGATGAACGGAACACTGAATGAGCGTGCGAGATGCATGCGATTGAAGAGTGGACTGCCCAAGATGTTTTGGGCGAAGCGATCAGCACGGCCGCTTTCTTGATCAACAGGGGCCTTCGTCCCACTTGAACAACAAAATTCCGGAAGAAGTGCAGAGTGGTAAGAAAGTTGATCTCTCTTTCTTACGTACCTTTGGTTGTTTGGCTTACGTTTTGAATGACGACCGGACAAAGCTGGATGCTAAGTCCAGTCAAATGTACATTCATTGGATATGGGACTGACGAATTTGGGTATAGATTTTGGGATGATCAAAATCGGAAAATTATTCGCGATCGTAATGTGGTGTTCAATGAAGGCATAATGTATAAGGACCGGAAGGAATACCGGACGATGACAAGACCATGCAGGAGTATGTTGGTCTCGATATTTCAAATACCGGAATCATGAGACCAGCGGATTCAGTGGGAGCTCGGATAGATGAGATCGAGCGTACGGAAGAAGAGGCGGAACCAGAATCGGATGAGCCGATTGCTTGAGAGCGGCACGCCTCGGCACTGGGCCGAGAACCGAGGATGAGAAGGGCCCGGATAGGTACTCCCCTTCTCTTTATTACCTACTTTTATCCGATTCCGGGAACCCGACTGTTATGCGAGGCGGTTAAAGATGCTCACAAGAGCAAGTGGGAGCTTGCGATGGAAGACGAGATGAACTCGTTGAAGAAGAACCACACATGGGATTTGTGTGATCTCCCACAAGGAAAGAAGGCTCTTCAAAACGAGATGGGTCTATCGGGTCAAGGAGGAATCGAGATGGAACAAAACGGTACAAGGCCGGACTTGTAGTAAAGGGATTCCAACGAGAGATACGGTATTGACTTTACCGATGTTTTTACACCTGTTGTTAAGTTAACCACTATACGTTTAGTGTTAAGCATCGTAGCGGCAGAAAACTTGGAGTTGCAACGGTTAGATGTGAAGACGGCCTTTACGCATGGGGATCTCGAGGAGGAAATTTACATGGTGCAACCGAGAGGGATATAGAGGAAATGATCGGCAGTGTCGTCGCCTAAAGAAGAGCTTGTACGGACTGAAACAGGCTCCTCGACGATGGTACCGAAAATTCGATAATTTCATGCTGGAGATAGGATACTCCAGGTGTAATGTCGATCATTGTTGCTATGTGAAGAAGTTCGGTAACTCTTTCATTATTTTACTTGCTATATGTGGATGACATGCCGATAGCGGGATCGGATGTCAAGGAGATCGAGAGGCTCAAAGATCGGCTATCAAGGAGATTTGATATGAAAGATCTAGGAGAAGCGAGACGAGATCTTGGGCATGAAAATCACGAGGGACGAAATCGTTGGTAAACTTTGGCTTTCTCAATTTGATTATATTGAGAAGGTGTTGTGCGAATTCAATATGAATATTGCAAAGTCGGTTCGAGTGCCATTGGGAAGCCGGTTCAAGTTGTCCAACAAGGATTCGCCCCAGGATGACTCGGAAAAAGAAAAGATGAGAGTTACGCCGTATGCTTCGGCTATCGGGAGCCTAATGTACGCTATGGTCCGCACCGGCCGGACATAGCACATGCGATGGGAGTAGTCGGTCGGTTCATGAGCAATCCTGGAGTGATGCACTGGGAGGCGGTAAAGTGGATCCTTAGGTACCTGAGGGGTACTAAGGACCGGGCATTAGTATTTGGCGGGGTACCCTTACCCCGTGCTGGGTATGTCGATGCTGATTTTGCAGGAAGTGATCTTGACAAGAGGAGGAGTACTGCGGGTACGTATTCACTTACGGCGGGACGGCCGTATCCTGGATCTCAAAGCTGCAGAAGATAGTCACATTGTCCACAACGGAAGCCGAGTACGTGGCGGTGACGGAGGCGGCCAAGGAGCTCGTTTGGTCGCAAAACTTCTTGAATGAACTTGGGAGACCTCAAGAGGATGTGGCTCTATACGGCGATAGCCGAGTGCAATCCATCCGGCAAAGAACCCCGCGTTTCACTCGCGAACGAAGCACATCGAGGTTAAGTATCATTTCATCCAAGCAACTTCTAGAGAAGAAGATGCTTGCAGCTGAAAAAGGTTCGGGGAGATAGGAATCCTGCAGACATGTTGACCAAGGCGGTAACTTTGGAAAAGTTGAAGCCGTGTGTAGCTTCGACTGGCCTTGATGATTAAAACAGGCAGACTTAGCGGAACCAAGAGTAGAGATGAACAGGTTGACCAATCTTCAAGTGGGAGATTGTTGAGGTGTAAAGATCGGTCAAAGATAGGGAACTTCCTCGTAAGTTCTCGGTCAAAGGAAGGCTACTTCCTTGCAACTTCCTGGTCAAAGGAAGGCTACTTCCTTGCAACTTCCTGGTCAAAGGAAGGGAGCTTCCTCTCAACTTCCTCTCAAGAAGGATTTGTTTGGCTATAAATACCTCATTTTGTAACCTCATTTGTATCCAATCCAAGTGTGAAGAAAGAGTAGAGAGAGTGTATTCATACGGGCTTGTGTGAATTGTAACATTCGGTTTATCCTCTTATTCTAGTTCATTCTCCTGGCTTGGTTCGCCCCCAGATGTAGGATTTAATCCGAACTGGGTTAACAAATATTCGTGTCTTTTATTGATCTCACATTGGTGTATTATTATTATTCCATCTTAACCGACCTTATTTCCCAACACTCACATTTTGTGAGTCTTTCGTTTTGAACAAAACCTCCACCGTTCCTGAAAACAAACTCATGAAGTGATATCATTACGTAATTTGCATGATATTCAAGATAGTAAACTCTATTTCCTTTTTTATTTTTCTTAAACTAAAAATTTCTAAACTCATTGTTTTTTTTTTTACTTATTTCCTTTTATTTGTCTTTTCCTTCCCTATTTTTTTTTTTTTATCTCTTACAGTTTCTTTCTCTCCTTCCAGAGAAATTCATTAGATAAAGATGTTGAGAACATGGTTTTTTCCTCTACCAAAGATAAACAGAATCACCCAAAAAGCACTCTATATATCTCATTCCTCACTTATAAATAAGTGCTTCTTCATACACCTGGCTCACAAGCAGCATCCAATTCCTCAGCACCATAACAACACCACACAGAAAAGAAAAAAAATGTCCCTGATTCCCTCCATGTTCGGCAGAAGAAGAACCGACGCACCCCTTCAACGAACCTGGGAGCCCTACCACGCCCAAGAGCACCACTCCATGGGCCTGGCCCAGCCCAACCCACCGCCACCCTTGATGGCCTTCCCCGCCGAGTCCTCGCCGATGCTGGACGCTCAAATAGAGTTGAAGGAGACCCCGGAGGCGCACGTGTACAAGGCGCACCTTCCAGGGTACAAGCGCAACGACGTGCGCGTGGAGGTGAACGATGACAGGGTCCTCTGCATCGTGTGCGGTAAGAGCGTGGAGAAGGAGCAGCAGCGAGGAGGGTGGCACTGCGTGGAATTCTCGAGCGGCCACTTCGTTCAGCGCCTCACTCTCCCCGAAAACTCCCTTGTCGATCACGTCAAGGCCTTCATGGAAAACGGAGTTCTCACCATCACCGTTCCCAAACACAACAAAGGGTCCCAGAGTCGCGTCAGAAACATCAACATTTCTTCTCGTTCCTGAGTGTGTGTAACCTAACCCTAAGAATTGAAACTGAACCGTTATCTTTGAACGAGAAAATGGTTGTTGTCTAAATAATAAATAATAACTAAAAGTTGTGTGCTTGAGTGAATGCTTTGAACTATATGTTTTGATCAATAATTAGTTTGGGGATATTCATTACCCTTCCAAACAAACACTTCCCATATGGAATTTGCAGGCAAAGTAAATCACACACTGCTTTGGTGTATTGAGGAAATTAATTATTAATTACTCCTCCCGCGTATGTGGATGACAATTACCTATTCATTCAATTTCTTTCTCATGGGAAACATCCCAGGAAATTCAATCTCTGCATCCTTCAACTTTGACTTAAAAGGTCAACAACAAAAAACAACTTAATATAATAGTTATTATTCTTCCATCGTAATAAGTAATATATGGATATTTTAATATTATTAAAGGTCTTTTTGTAATTTACATAAAAGGACATTGTTATTATAATCGAGATTACAAGTTTTTTTTTAAAATAAAAAAATAAAACATTATTTTGTGCTTTGCAGGTTTTTCTTCCTTTTCGTCTTTGTTTTCTTTCTTAGACGTTTTCATTTTTTTGGAAGCCAATATTTATTCTTCTAATTTTGTGGTGTGTTTCGTTTAGAGTACAGAGCATAGTGGTGCGTTTCCTTCTAATTTATAGAGCTTATATTCAATGGCAGATCTTTGGAGCTACCCTAAAATTTTGTAACTCCTATGTAATTTATGATTTTGGCCCCCCAAACTTAATTAACATTTAATATATTTACTTGTATATTTACAATTTTATCCTTTTAGCTCCTCCTTAATTTTGTAACTCTCGTATAATTTATGATTTTGTCTTTCTCTAACTTAATGATCATTTAATATATTTAAATATATATTTACAATTTTATCTTTTTACCCTTTCATCTTCTTTCTTCCTTTTATATTTATTTATTATTTATTAATAATATATTATTTAGCCCTCCAAAATCAATGTTCAAGATCCGCTACAGCTTACATTATAAGAAAAGAGTTTGCAGTAGGAAAAATTCTCGTTTTTGGTTCTGAATGTTGGTAAGACTATTATGGTTTCATTCTACTTTATAAAATATAGACACTAGAACATTGAATTTGTTGTATCGTGAGGAATACATGTTATATCTAGTCTTGTTACGATTTTAACAATAAAATCTAGTTCAGTCAATTAATATCATTACATAAAATGTTATTTTTAATCATTTTTTTCTACTTATAATTCTTTTTAATACACACGTTTGGGGTTTTGTGAAATTATACAACATTTTCTTGCTTCGTACGGTTTCGCAGTGTAAAATTTTATAAAAAAATTGAGATAAATATAATGAATTAAGAATACAAGTAGAGTTTGGTAGTTGAGTTTAACTTCGCATACTAGTCGATGTAATATTCTATAAATAATTAAGAGATGAATATAACGAATAAAGTACTAATAGGTCTTTGGATTTAAAAATTTACTATAATTTATATTTAAAAATTTTACTTTGACTTTTTTATATAGATAAAAATATTTCCTATATAACCATTTAACAATTTTTTATAAGAATATAATTATAAAAATATAACATGAAATACTATTATTATTATTATATTATTATTAGTCTGAAAAACCGCAAACTATCCTTAGTCCAAATCAATTATAAAGTCGATTAAAATTTTAAAGTAGAGTATTTAATATATTTTTCTTTGCTATTTATTTACAAATTCATGATATCTTGGATTATAGATGAAGTGAGGAAACAAATGAAGTCAATTATATATTATTAATGAAGATATATTAAGTCATTTCTTATTTTGATTTAAACTTGTTCTATTTTCTATTTAAATATTGGTTGGATTTAAACTTATTCTTTAAATCCTTAAGTATGTTTGATAATTATAAATTGATTGAGAAATAACTTTATTTTTTTCCCAGTTCGTCAGTTGATTCGAGTAGTATGTGAGTTTTGGTGTCAAAATTGAGATTTATTTAAGAGGTAAGTTATATGAGCAAACTGTTATCAATATAAGTTTTTATATGAGCCGGACTTAAATATTGGTATACTCTGTTTTCAAATAATTAAATAATCTTATTGAAAAGATAAATAAAATATTAAATAATTTCACGGCACTTTTAGAAATTATTAAATTTTACTAATTATAACACTCTTTTTATTTATATATATAATTTTTGGTGCAAAGTGACGTTATATTATGACAACTGCGCTCATACAAAACAATTTATTCAAAGCACAAAAAGCAAGCAAAGATATACGTGTATACGTAAGAATAAGAAGAAAAAAAAGTCGAAAAAAAGATAAAGAAAGGGAATATTCGCTAGATGGAAAAAAAAAAGTAAAGGAAGAAATTAAATAAAGGATTTGAGTACGTGAAATTCAAATATTTTACCCAAAATAGCAATGGAATTTATTTTTTAAAAATGGCCTAGAAGATAGAGGGATGCATATCTATATCTAATACGATTAATGTTAATCTAACCAGCTTAATTATAGAAGAAATATTTTTATAATTTTTCATTTATGAGATATTTTCAATACAATATAACAACACCAATACCCTAATACTGATTATTTGGAATCAAAATTGCTAAGGAATACAAAATTAAAATAGATGCAAATCATAAACTTTGAAAATGAGTCCACATCTAAACTTTTGTAACAAGGAAAAGAAAGTGAATTGATGGGGAGGGCCCCATTCTGCTGAAAATCCCAGGGCTAAAGTGCTACTTCTTCATAGATCATATGAGCTTGCTTGCACACGAATTATGGAACAATTTTTAACAACCAGAATCAAATTTCATGTTCAATTCTGCCATGTCCCAACCGACACAAAAACGTTGCTACGCATACTATATAAACCTTAATTCATCTACCATGTTCATTCCTACGTTATTATTACATATAGAAGCTACTTTGTTACGCCACATTGCTTGATTGCTTCCATATGTTGTCGACGGCCACCGCAGACGGTGTTCCGGCGCCCTACAACTCGACGGTGGCGACGCGGCTTGGACGGCGGCGGATTCCGATACACACGACGTTCTACTGGGGGCACAAGGTGGACATACTTTTCCAGTGTTGGCCGGGCGACAGCGCTGCCATGTACGCGGTGGCGCTGATCCTCGTATTCTTCATGGCGGTGCTGGTGGAGTGGCTCTCATTTACCAACATCGTGAAACTCAAGCCTGGGGGCTCAAACGACGTCGTTGGAGGGCTCCTGAAGACGGGGTTATACGGCGTGCGTTCTGGGCTCTCTTACTTGGTTATGCTGGCCGTCATGTCGTTTAATGGTGGCGTCTTTGTCGTTGCAATATGCGGCCACGTCATCGGGTTCTTGATTTTCGGGACACGAGCTATAAGGAAAAAATCGGGCGGGTTGGACTCTTCTAAACCGTAGGATTTGCCCAGTTTGGAACTTTGAATCTTTGGCGTTGGATGTTATGAATAATGTGAATAATAAACGAGCGAGTAGAGTTTAAAACGGTGTTTTGCCTTTCCTGTAATGGCAAAACTGTCTGGAGAAAAAGAAATCGTGAGTATTTTTCGATGTTAGAATAACGAAATGGACTTTTGGGCCTGTTTGCATTACTATTTTGTAACCACGATTCATGAAATTGATTTTTTTTTTTTAATTATAATGAATTTTTTCGTAATCCATGCATTAACTAATCATAGTAGCACTAGTGAAATTTTAGAACTGCAAGTCGTTCAATTGTTAGTTTGAAGGTCAACACGGTAAAATAGAAAATATAACTTCATTACGTCCAAAAGTTTTGGAGATAGCTATGAGTGGTTTTGGATAAGTGGAAGATAAAATTTGAACCAGTGGGGTTGAATTGGTTATGATATTTCATAAAATTCTTCACTCTCCAAGTCAAATCAATCAAGATTGAAAAAAAAAATGAATAATTCAAAACTTGTTGTATTCAATTGATAAAAATAATATATTTTCAAAAAAATTATATTATTTTTTATAATCAATATATTAGATGATAATAATTATATAATAAATTTAAATTTTATGAAGTTTTGACATTCAAATTAAGAATATTTTAAGTATTATTTATTTTTTTTATATTTTTGTATTATAATACCGTACGGTTTGATTTAATTTTTTATTTTGAAATAAAAAACATGAAAAAGTAGTCTATTTATTATAAAAAAAATATATTATATTATTCTTTGAAGAATAATTGTGATTTTTTTTAATTTTAAATTTTTCAAATTATATTTTTGTGTTAATTGTTTTTTAATCTGAGTAGAGTTATTCGGACGGTAATATTTTTTGTAACGTTTTTTTTATCACATTGTTACGAAAAATAAAAAAATATTAAAGAAAATATTGTTATAAAAAAATTCACTTATAACTAATAACCATTTTTTTTCAAAAAAAAACTATACAATTATACAATAATATTTTACGTGTTATAATTAATAATAATAATATCATTTATATTAAAATTGTAAATCATAAATCTAATTTGGTTTGATTTGAGTTTGATCCAACACATGTCTCATTCCCCAAATCCAAATCTCATATCTATTGTTATTTTGGTTCCTTTAATAGGAGAGGTACGCTTTTTATAGTGTTCATAACCTTTCAATCTAGTCATCCTCTTCTTCAACAACATTTTCATATTTCTTTTACAAGTGTTTCCTGTAAAATAATTCGTTATTAAATTATATTTTATTCATTTGAGTATTTATGTAATAAATCACTTTAATCATTATATGAATTTTTTTATTTTAACTAACAAGCATAAATAATTTTCAATATAGAGAATCATTTTATCACTCATTAATTAATATAACATAAATTTTTACTAATGATCTTTTATATATAATTTAAATTTTTAATATAAGACCTAATATTTAAATAAAATACGGTAAAGATAAATGTGTAAAAAAAATGTGGGACAAAAGTAATTTACATAAAATATAACTTATTATTAGGAATAAAATAAAAATTTGTAAAATAAATTATCTAAATTACAAAAAATTACATTAAAAATGCTTGTCATTGTTGAAATATTGGCAAGCGTACCAAATTATCAATCGCAGATATAGTATTTCGATTAAATAAAAGTCGATCCCACGAGGAACGGTTTCAATGGAAATTCTCAATTATGCTTACTAAGTAGATTAAAACAGATTAAGTTTTGCAAATAAGAGTTGAATTGAAATTAAATGACAAAGAATTGTAAATTGTTGAGAAAATATCAATTAAAGGTACTTAGGATTGACTTCCTTCCTTATCCCTCTTTTGTAATGACTATGTCAATTAAGAACGTCAATTAACCTAACAATATTGATGTCACCTACTCAAATCATCCATGTTGATTCCTCACACAATTAAGGGATTTTCCAGCATTAGGGTTAGGGTGTTTAAGCACTTGATACATTCATTCCATTCCTGGCAATTAACGTAACAAATATTCTTACCGTGATCTAGGGTTCAAGATATATTTTCCAATCATACCTCAAACAATCAAGAATAAATCATTCCAAAGCATAAAGGATAAGAATAACAACATCAAAACATAGATTCATATCTCAAAATATCACCATGATACAAAAGAGTTCAAAGGAAGTACACCGAATCCTAAGAGAATGAAGTTAGCCACTCATGTTGGTCATTACAATGCTCCAATTGATGAAGTAGAATTGATGAAGATTGGACAAAACCCTAACAGTAGTCGTGCCTCCTCCTCTCCAAGACTGCTTGCTTTTCTCAAAACACAACTTATCTTTTTATAAGAGAATTTGGGTCGGGCCTCGCATCATTTATTCGCTTAAGCGCTCTTCTTTCTTTCAATTTTACTCCAATTATGTTGACAATTATGCTCCTTACTCTTGTATCAAGGTATTCTCGAATTCATCCTATATTGGGAGAAAAATATATTAGAATTAACATAAGTTAAGTGGTTTCATAACAATTCAAGGCATAATTATATCAACTTTTTACCACTTAACAATTCCCCCCAACCTAGAATCTTGCTTGTCCCAAGCAAAGTAATTTTTCCAAAACAAAATCATCACCTATTATCTTTTTCTCTTCTAGAACCATAACATAAAAATTTTCAGAGGTGATGCTCACAACTCCAAATGAAAATAGAACACATAAGCATTCAAGTTATAGAAACCAACAAAGAATATATAGTCCTGAACTATCCCCAGAGAAGCATGATCTCTCAAATAGAGTTATATATACTCATCTCTAATTCTCACAGATAAGTGTTTATCTCATTCAATCACTTCATTTAGACAATCCAATATTGATAATCATCTTCAAGCAATCAACAATTGTTAAACAAGACTTAAATCAAAAGGTCTTTTGAGGCTTGTAATGGGGCTGGGCTAAGAAAGAATTATTGATTTTTCTGGGATATACAAAAATATTTGAGAAATTCAACTCATATGAATGATTCTTGATTAACAATTCCTCAAGTCAGGTTTCAAACTTTATGTTTTTGTCCCTAACACAATGACAATGAGTTACTAATCTCACAAGTTATTACCCCCATTTTGACCTTTTTTTATTTTATTTTTTTTACTTTTGCATGTATCATTTTTTTGGCTTTGCAAATTTTTAAGCTTTGCTTTTCCTTTTTCTTTACACTTTTTTTTTTTTTAACAATAACACCCCAACAATACCTGTAGGACAACAATAACAATACCCAACAATAAGAAAAATAGTGACATTCATACTCATTTCCTTTCTCAAATATAGGAAGGTAGATAAATAGTGTTTAGGCTTAAGGGTTCTGTTTCAGAAACAATATTATTTTTTTTTCTCAGAAGGGGTTCAAATGGATGTCCTATAATTAATGCATGGTTGGCTATTTGGCTCTGGGTTATATCTACTACAAAGAAAAAATGTATTTATCATTTTCAAGTCTTGCTAACATGTAATCACATCAAAGAATCAACCAATATCAGTTATCATCACAAAGTGTTGACACTCAATTTATCTGTTTATGGTACTCTGCTCACCTGGGTTTTGGCTAGCTTCTCCAATTTAGTTAATTCCTAATTTTCCTCATCAATTCCTTTTTACTATCATACTCAATATCCCAAAATCACTTGTTATTGGAAACAATCAAAATTATTTTTCACGTTCTAGATTTGAATTAGACAATAAGCAATAATCTCATATATGGATCTAAAACAAATTATGGGACAACAAAGGAATTCAAAATTTAAAATAAAGCAATTAAAAACATTAAATTAAAAACAAAGGAATTAAAAACATTAAAAGTAAAGTAAGTTTTCTCCCTCATTTTCTTCACTTGTCATGTACTCTTTATCTTGTGCCTCAGCCTCAGCTGTAGACTTTCTCACCTCCTCCAGAAAAGTTGGATTGTCCCCAGGCCATTGAAGTAAGGCTTCAAAGTCTTGAGGAGAAGTGCACTGTGTACCTGGAGCAATCTTGCAAAGAAAGAACCTAAGGAAGAAAAATGTACAAAAAACTTAAACTGCAAAAAGAAAAAAAAAATTCAAAACATTGGGTTGCCTCCCAGGAGCGCTTGTTTAACGTCTTTAGCTCGACGCCTATTTGCTTTAGGGCTCATGCAGGTGAGTGATCAAGGTGATATATATGTATTCTCCATCCCTTGACTGTCCTTGTGGGAACGAATTTATTCTTTTCATTGCGAATAACCTTACAACTGTCAGAGATTGGATAAATCATACCTGCTTCAGGAAGTTTCAGTACCTTTCTTTGAACAACTTCCTTCATAGTCAGACTAAGATGTCTTTGGGGTTGTGCAACATGCTTGTAATCTTGTTTTTCAGTTGAGATGGTTAATTCCTCCAAAGTGTCTATTCTGAGATAATTTTTCTTGTCTTCCGGTTGTTGTACAGCTTTAAATAGATTAAAATTAAATTCATCATCTCCACTTCTCATTTTCAACTTGCCCATGTCAACATCTATAATTATTTTGGCAGTCTTCATATAAATGGCCTTCCCAGGATCAATGGGACTTCCTCATTTTCCTCCATGTCCATAATCACAAAATCAACAGGAAATATGAAGTTATCCACTCTAACTAAAACATCTTCTGCTACTCCATAAGGAATCTTTACAGATCTGTCAGCTAGCTGTAATGTCATTCTTGTAGACTTTACTTCCAAGTCTCCTATTCTTTTAAGCATAGACAAAGACATTAGATTTATACTAGCACCCAAATCAAGTAATGACTTACCTACTTGTAACGTCCCAATTGTGACTGGTATAGTGAAACTGCCAGGATCCTTGGACTTTTGAGGTAATGATTTCTGAATTATAGCGCTGCATCCTGCTTCTAGCTCCACTGTTTCTGCAGTAAATCTCCTTTTCTTAGTTAACAACTCTTTCATGAATTTTGCATAAGTCGGCATCTGCTCCATAGCTTCCAT